TCATCTGGCTTAGTCTCAAGTGGTCATGAGTCTGTCCCTTCCCCGTGTGGGGGCCCTTCGCAGAGGGAAGTAGTTCTCATCCTCTTTTGCTAGTCGAGCTAGGTGATCGTGGGAGAAAGAAGGCCCTGGCTCAGTCTCTTTCAAACTCTCTGCTAATGTTTAAAACTTGCCCCAAATCCCAATGTTCATTTGTTGCCTGAACCTTCAAGTTTGGCTGTGAATGCCACCACTCAATCTGCCAACTTGAACACAGTGATCGTATCTCTAGAAGTGACAGATTGCTTTTTTTTTTTTTTTTTGGTGGTACCAGGGATTGAACTCAGGACCCTGCACTTGGCAGGCAGATGCTTATTCTACTGAGCTATCTCCCTGGCTCCAGAAGTGGCAGATTGATATCATTGAACAGGTTGAGTATGTCATACACGTCAACAAAAGTGCAACCCACCCTGTGCCACGGAAATGTACTGTCAGTGATGACTGCTTTCCTAAGAGAAATCTCTGAAGCAGCTCTCAGAACTCAGAAACTCTGGCTCATCTTTAAAAAGCCATCGCAGGACCGGTGAGACAGCTCAGCAATCTAAAGCTCCTGTTTAGGGAAGCGTAGGCAAGCCTTGGGACCGCACTTCAATCCCTGGCACCACACACCGCACCAGCACCAGCCCCACCCCTTGGGCAGGCTGAGCCGGCTACAAAAACAAAACAGAACAATAAAGCCATCCATCTCACTTCTCCATATAAGAAAAGATGTGTGTACCCCACATCCATCTTCCTGCAGAGGTACACGAACCAAAGTGAGGTAAGGGCAGGCATGTACTTTAAGGTGGCTTCTAATTTTAATTACACCCTTCAAAATATTGTGAGGTTCAGGTGACATTTTTTCAGCAAGCCAGCTGTTCTCTACAGATGACACAGTGTACACATTCAGCGGTCACCTCTGTGACCCGAGCAGTGATACCAGAAAGCTCTCCAGCCTCGGCAGCCACTCCATCTGTGGGTCTACCAATATGAAAATGGCCAGTTCTATTTGCTTAATACGTAATCATTCAAAGACTTGAATGGCCCTGCAGCTTTGGGCTTAGTTGGCAACAAAAGCACACACGACATATAGGCTCAATGAACATCTTCCTGAAAAATACGTTGCACAAAACAAGTAGAGCCGCCTGGTAGTCAACGTGAGTCGCTGGTCAACCTGGACTACATGCCACGGTGACTCATTAATCCTGTCTAACAACTGTGGCTCAAAATCTTCTGCTGCTTCATGAGTTCATCTGGTTATGCTTCTAGTTATGCCGTGTGTCACCTTTTGAACTGCAGCCCCTCCTAAAAACTCATGACAAATGTCCTTAGCAGGCAGAATCAACTCTCTAGTTATGCGACAGGGGTTCTTAGTTTTAGCAACATGGTTGGCCCCGAAGAATGATACTTTTGGTACAGACACATTTGATGAAGTGATGACTTTCAATAATTGCTTCTGAGGGCTGAAGAAATAGCTCAGCAGCATAAGTGCAAGGTCCTGAGTTTGATACCTGGTACTGCAAAATAATAATAATAATAATAA